CAATGGCGGCGGACTGAGCCGGAGGCTCTAAAGTTGGATGTTTACTACCAATCAGTTTGCTTTCTCCTTTTCATTTCAATTCATATAGGAGTTCTTTTCCGAGAAGGACTTAAAGGAGAATTCAAATATAAATGATAATAAGGAAAGACAAGCTGGTGCGCCTTCCAATTTGCATGTTTTTAGATGGGGAAAACCAAAAAATCAACAGAACCTCGAGAAACCCAACAAAAAACAAAACGATCAACCTTGAGAAAACCAAATACAACAGAAATAACAATGCTTCCAGAACTCGTTGTTTTCAATGAGCCTCCAAATGATGGTTTTATGGTCGTTATGGTTGATGTTTCTTGGTTTGGTTGGGTATTTTTAGGTTGCTGTCTCGAGGATTCGTTTTGCGTTCTGGCTTTCAAGCTTTGTTGTTTTCTCCAGTCTGTCTTGGCTTTGAGCCTCAAAGCGCGCAAAAAGCGCGGCACCACCAGGGTCAGGCCTTCTTTGTAGCCTGCTTTTAGCTTGTTTTTCTTGAATTTCTGTAGCCCCCTCCCCACCTCTACATCTCGTTGGCACGCAAGACTCCCCCACGCAAAGCGCAAATATTTGATAGGTTTGTCGCCTTACTACCACGCTCGTGAAACAGGATAGTGGGATCACCTGCTCTTTTAAGCCGCAGCGCTCAAGCAACCACACACAAGGGCAAACATGCCCAACAAACAGATCCTGCCTCTTTGAAGGACTGCAGCACAATTCCCTGCAAACCAGTCCGGCAAACAACGGAAAGCGCCTGCCACGGCATGCGATGGCTTTCCCTTGCCTTCCCTTGCCTTCCTTCGCTTGACCTTGCTTTTTCCCTTGCGTTGCCTTGCTTTCCCTTGCTTTCCCTTTTCGTTGCTTTCCCATTTCCTTGCTTTCCCTTGCTGTCCCTTGCTTTCCTGTGCTTTGCCTTGCTTTGCCCGTGCTTTAGCTTGCTTTGCCTTGCTGTCCCTTGCTTTCCCTTGTTTTCGCTTGCTTTCCCTTGCTGTCCCTTGCTTTGCCCGTGCTTTTGCTTGCTTTGCCTTGCTGCCCCTTGCTTTACCTTGTTTTCCCTTGCTTCCCTTGCCTTGCTGTCCCTTGCTTTCCCTTGTTTTCCCTTGTGTTCCCTTGCTGTCCCTTGCTTTCCTTTGCTTTGCCTTTCTGTGCCCGTGCTTTTGCTTGCTTTTTGCCCTGCTATCCCTTGCTTTCCCTTGTTTTCCCTTTCACTTGCTTTCCCTTGCTTTCCCTTGCCTTCCTTTGCTTTGCCTTGCTTTGCCCGTGCTTTTGCTTGCTTTGCCTTGCTCTCCCTTGTTTTCCCTTGCTTTCCCTTGCCTTCCCTGGCTGTCCCTTGCTTTCGTTTGCTTGTCCCTGCTTTCCCTTTCCCTTTCTTTCCCTTGCTTTGCCCGTGCTTTTGCTTGCTTTGCCTTGCTCTCCCTTGTTTTCCCTTGCTTTCCCTTGCTTTCCCTTGCTTTCCTTTGCTTGTCCTTGCTTTCCCTTGTTTTCCCTTTCCCTTGCTGTCCCTTGTGTTCCTTTGCTTTGCCTTGCTTTGCCCGTGCTTTTGCTTGCTTTGCCTTGCTCTCCCTTGTTTTCCATTGCTTTTGCTTGCCTTCCCATGCTTCCCTTTGATTGTCCTTGCTTTCCCTTTCCCTTGCTTTCCCTTGCTGTCCCTTTCTTTCCCTTGGTTTCCCTTGCTTTCCCTTGCTGTCCCTTGCGGTCCTTTGCTTTCCTTTGCTTGTCCTTGCTTTCCTTTGCGTTGCCTTGCTTTCCATTGCTTTCCCTTTCCCTTGCTTTCCCCTGATTTCCCTTGCAGTCCAGTCCCCTTGCTTGCTGTCCCTTGCTTTCCTTTGCTTTGCCTTGCTTTGCCTTGCTTTGCCTTGCTTTGCCTGTGCTTTCGCTTGCTTTGCCTTGCTGTCCCTTGCTTTCCCTTGTGTTTCGCTTGCTTTCCCTTGCGATTTTGTTGCTGTCCCTTGCTTTCCTTTGCTTTGACTTGTTTTGCCCGTGCTGTTGCTTGCTTTCCCTTGCTGTCCATTGCTGTCCCTTGCTTTGCCTTGCTTTCCCTTGCCTGGCTTGCTTTCCCCTACTTACACTTCCTTTGCCCTTGCTTTCCCTTGGTTTGCCTTGCTTTGCCTTGCTGTCCCTTGCTGTCCCTTGCCAGCTTGACCCAAGTCAGAGCAAACCAACAACTGCACAACCCTCCTGCACTGAATCACATACAAGCAACAACCCAAACCAGCGCCCGTACTTACACACCCCGTGTCGTCTCCCTGGGACCTGCAAACCAGCCTTGCGGTGGCAGAAAGTGCTCCAAGAAATACTCCCCAAAAATGGGAGTATTTTTCCTGCGACATCCCCAGCATCGCCGACCACCACAAAAACTTCCAAAACAAGCGACATCCCCTGCATCCCCGGCATCCCCTGCATCCCCGGCACCCCTTGTGCGCCCAAGTCCGGCGAGGCCGGAAGCAAAGTAAAATGATGTAAAACTGGCACGCTTTTTGGCCCGCGAGAGCCACAGACGAAAAGGTCAGACATGATAGGCAGCGTCGACGAAAAAGCGCGAAAAACACAGGGAAAAACACAAAAAAACCAGCCTTGCGGTGGCAGAAAGTGCTCCAAAAAATACTCCCATTTTTTGGGAGTATTTTTCGGCTGACCAGACCTGCAAATCACCCGGAACGAGGTTTACCCCCCCACAACTTCGTACACTAACTCCCAGCGCTTCAAGAAGCGCTTTCCGTCATCGGGCATAACACCAAGAGGAAGACCCTTTCTGTCGAATCGTAGGACTAGCATTTGCTCAATCAAGCAACCCTTTCTTGGTGGTTTGGATTTGTGGCTTCGGGGCACCCCTAACCTCCAAACCACAGATGGTAGAAAAGTGACCCAAGGTGCCGCAACCCCAAAAACATAAGAGACACACACCAAAAACCACGCTCGCCTTCGCCAGGCTAGGCAGGCTGGACTTGTAGCCGTCGGGCAATCGGCTAAGGGCTTTCTCCGTGTCCAGGTGCCGCAGGGCGGTGGGCAGGGCGGTGCCCAAATCCCCCAGGAAGAGGCTGGGCCAATTCACCTCTTCTTTGGCCATGGCAAGATGCCGAAACTAAACCGAGCGCCCAAAAGGGGGAGATGAGCTCTCCCCTTGCCGAGTGCTGCCAGATGCAGCGCGCGACTGGAAAGTTGGGGTGTGTTGGCTTGGCGCACAGTGCGAGTGAACGTTTCAGACCCTTGGCAGGGGTTTGCGAAAACGGCAGTGCAGAAGATGGTTTGGTGGAGGGGTTGAAGTGGCCTTGCTTGCACTTCTCTTCATAGTGCGCGGAAAGGGCTTCCTCGGGGAAACAACTCGCAAAAACATAGGCAAACAAGGTAACAAGTGGCCCTCCAAACGGATTCCCGTAAATCTCCAGTAGGTGAGCAACCCTCAAAACCCTCGAGCAACCCAAGAGCTAATTACCCCTTGAAATGAACGGAACACCGCCTGTGAGGGGAGAAACCACTGCCAAACGCGTAGCAACTGGGTCACACTCTGAGCCAAGACGGCGGAGGTCGCCTGCAACATTAACAGCAGGAACCCGAAACAGGGCCCCTCAAAGGAGGTCAATCTGAAAAAGGTTGGTTTTTTGGGTTACATATTCATCTGAACGAGGGGGGCCAATCAAGGGAATGTGCAGGCAGCCAGCTAGCGCCCTCTATGACTTGGTTCTCCTTCATTGCTGGGCACCCCAAAAATGGTTGACCATTTAGCCAGGGTATGCAGGGCAGGCAAGGATTCTGTTCAAACGGAGCCGTAAATTTCAAGTCTTGGGCCCGAATGCTTGCTGGCCACAAATGCGGAGTTGGTCAAAACTTGTGCTGCTTTGTATGACAACCCCCAAGTGTCCGCGTGAACATGCGTTTCGCAACAAAGCGCCGCACTGCCTTCTTCAGCCATACGTGACTGCCTCAAACATCAATATCACACGGGGCACGGAAGCATTGACAAGACACGTCTCATCCAACAACGGAATAAACCAGAACATGCATCAGAATGCGCCAACAAGCGACAGCAGAGTTTGACCAGCAAACAGAAGGCCATAAAACAAAACTGGACAAAGGAAAACCTTGAATTCCACAAATGCATACGAATGAGACAAACAAATAAATGTGTCAACATAGGCAGGCATGTGCATGTCAATGTGTGCGTGTGCACTTGCAATTCATGGAGCACATCCAGCGGAAAAAACAACTCACCCATGCATCCAAAAGTCCGACGACTTGATTGATCCGAAGTCTCTCCCAGCTTCAGGGGGAGACGTGGAGGAAAGTGTCCCATGAACCACGAGTCTTCCCCACGCAGGGAAAAGAACCACATGGATGGGACTGCCTCACCAGTGAAAACCTCCACGCGACTTGCACACGGTTGTCCAAACATGTTTAAACCACCATTGTTTTCGGCTCCCCTTTATAGGGACCCAAGCTCTAATCGTTCAAACAGTTTGTGGTTAGCTCCAACCAAGGGAATTCTTCAGATACCCCCCCGGCAACCTCCACTTGCGCCCTGTCTACCCTTCTCTTGGCCCAGGGGAATGGAACGTGGGGCCATCGGGATCTCGAGCGATTTAGTCACCTCATCCAAGAGGCGTAATGGATCTGCGCGTAATCCAGTGCCTGTAGCAGGCCTCCGTGACAAGCGGCTCGTTTCTTGGCCGGGGGGTTTTCTCGTTTTGAGGATTTGGCTTTGTGGTGTTTTTGTTTGCTACCGGCCGGGGTTTGTCGCAAACAACAATGGCTGTGATTGGATATGGTTTCCTTTCGGGAGCTCATAGAAGTACTGTGGATGGACGAAATCCTGCACCACCTAAGAAGCCCTGGAATGATGAGTCCCCTGTAAATGCCAACAAGCAATGGTTTCTCATGGTTTCAAAAGTGGTGCAGGATTTCGTCCATCCACAGTATGGTCCATTCAGCATTCAGCTTTGTCCCGAGAACTCAGTTCTGGTGTCCCAGCGGCCGACAATGTGAGCCCCGTTTTGGGCATGACTTTGCCAGTGTGGGAGTCTGTTCCCTAAGCTTTACGACACCGCGGAGTCCAGTTAGTCGCTGGTGTCGGATATTCTTGACCCCCAGGCAGACATGTTTATAAGGGGAAAAAAACTGGTTCTTTCTTGTGTTTTTCCCGAATGGGAAACCAAAAGGGGTTGGTAGTTCATGCGTTCCATGGTATAATCCAACTGCGAGTTTTCGTGTTTCACCTCTGGTAAAGCGCCGTAGGGGTCAAATAACCCCCTTCTATAAACAAACAATTGGGATACACCCGGACAGGCGTCCCTAGCAAAACAAGTTGGAACATGCTTCCCACGACCCCGTGCACCTTCAACCCCTTCAGCCCCCAACAACTTCAAGGCTCTCAGTTTCATCCCCTGAGAGACCCTTGGCGAATCCCTGGGAACCAACAAAACAATTCGGGTGAAGTCCGAACTGCCTGCGCCGAGAGATTCGGCCAAGGGGTTCCCCAGCTGGTGGGGTGCCGCCCGGATGGCCGCCACCACCACCGCCCGCACCTCCGGCTCAAGGCTCGGCCAAACTTTGACATGGTTTTGGGGGTGTTGAAATGGGGGAATACCTCCCCCCCCCCACCCCAAAAAGAAAAAGAAATGCGAATTTTCTCTTGGTCCCTTTTTAAATGAAGAGGGTGTCCTCCAAAATTGTTGGGCATAGCCCTGTCTGTAATACCAAAGTGGAGGATCCCGCTTTCTTGCTTTGACCGGCACCGCTTACCCAATTTATTTTTCCACCCCAACCTGGCCCTCGGGCTGGACCAAAAGTCCCCCCCCCCCTCAAAAAGTATCAACCAGGTTCGCTAAGCTCGGCAATGGAAACGCACTGCCATCAGATCCAACCGTTTGATAAATTGCAGTACATGTTGGATGCTCTGTAATTTGCAAAATTTAGTAAGGTGGCTTGGAGCAAGGGAAAAAGGGCAATCCCGTTTCCGACCACGCATGTCGGGTTGCCAAGCCAATATGCCAGGTTGCGTTTCAGAGCTCCTTCTTGATCCAAGATCCCAGGACAAACGGTGGCTTCTCAAAATAGGAATCGGCCCCCTTTGAATATTCCAATCAAAAGGGGATCCACCATTCGGAGAACACCCAAATACCGCACCCAAAGGTTGCATGATCTGTTTGCGCGCATTCTCCCCTTTTCTTCGCCAAGGGATCTAAACCCGCGCTCGCACCTTCAAAGCTGCAACTTTGATCCCCAGTTCAGAGCTGGGGATCAAGCTTCTGGCTAAGCGGTTGAGGCCAAATGTGTTTAAAAAGTAGGTGAAAGGGAAACCAGAGAAAGATTTCTCAAACAGTTGTTTAACTCACTTGCCTCAAAGAGATGAAAGGTCGTGGCTCAAAAGGAGCATCACCTTTTGAGAAGGCCAACTTGATTTGCTCATCTGTTCTTATTGCCTCGGAGGGAAGAGGAAAACGATTTTCACACGTGTCGCAGAAACCCTGGAGGCGCATTCTCCCTGGAGGGGTCATACGCTGCAAGCTGGGGCGCTATCACCTGCAGGAGGTCCGGCACATAGACTCCCCCCTCCTTCTTGCCAACATCGCTCACCTGTGCGGAAAAGAAGATATGATTGCTCCATTAGCTGGAAAAGTCAAAGCAAACCGACCGACCGACCGACCGACCAAACATGTTCAGACTGTTAGATTCTAAACGGAACAGGGGACTGCGGCAGTGCATTTGTTCCTCCTTTTTTGTTTGGACCTGTGGTGTGTACATGTATGAATGTGTTTGTTCTGCTTGTGTAATGCATTCCTGTGTTTCACAAAACAACATAAACTCGAGAAAACACAATTCTCAGACACTCTGTGTAATGGTTTAATTGAAAAAAAAACTAATGCAATTTGTCGAGCAACCAACTCACTTAGCATTTAAACACAACTTATTCAACAAAAGCTCAACAGAACCGAACCCCAGAAAGGCTCTGAATTGGAGCGGATGCCTCTACTTTCTTGATCACGAAGTAGGGCGGGGGCGACATCTCGCAGGAGGGGTGGAGGCAAAGTCGCGTGACGATGTTGGAGAAGGAGATCTTGTCGACGATCACCTGCGCGCAAGAAAGAAGGGCGGGTCAATCAGGCCTGTCAGAACTGTAGACACCATTTGGGGGGATGAAGCCCTGACAGGATAAACCTACCAACTGGTGCGAAGTAGATTCCGTCCATCCATATGGGTGAGATGCATGGTCTGTCAAAAGCATGGTCCCTAATTTTCAGGGCGATCAACTAGAAAAAAGACTCACTTGGCCCATGCAAAGAACGACCTTTCGCGATGAAGGAAGCCCAAAAGGGCCAAAGTACAAAAAGACGAGCTCAGCCATGGCTCAGTATGGCTCAGTATGGTAGCCTTCTCGCAATTCGGGAAAAGCCAGCACCAAACAAACATGGATCTCTTCAATTCTTTTGGCCTTACACCAGACCGCCAAGTCAACGGCACCATGTTTGCGCCCGGGTTCGG